TATAATTCCATAAAAAGTCATCACTGACGCCATAAATAAATGAAAAGTGGCAAATCGTACGTTTGTGAGCATAAACTCCTTGAAGAGCTCCGATGTGCGCGGGTCCGAATTGCCAGACGCAGGGTCAAACTGGCACAGCAAGTGCAGCCAGTTGGCCAACTCCTGCTGACGTTTCTCGATGAACTCCTTGTTGAACGAGCCCAGGAACTTCTTGGGCGGCAGCGCCGGGCAGCGATAGCCTTCGCTCGACAGCTATTTGTACCCATAACCGATATGATACATGTTAGTAACCTGTCTGATCCGTAGTGCAGGTTCCAGAGAGCTCCTCCAGGTTTAGTCAACTGAAATGCAGCTTATAGCGACGCGCACCTTGTCGTGGAAGTCCTTGAACTCGTGATAGCGGTGCTTAACGATGAACATGCCCTCAGGCACCTGGACCTGCACGAAGTAGACGGTGGTCTTGCTGCCATTGTGGCTCACGTTGTCGTGGCCCATGATGCCCACGAACTTGGGCCCGCGGTAGTCGTCCGGAGAGCTCATCTCTGCTTCCCCGCACTGGTACTAACAATTACTATTGGGAGAGGGCCGAGAAGCAGGAGATGGATGTCACCTTCGCCTCGCCTTCCTGTCTGGAGAATGCGACTGAGCTCAGGGCCCGAGACTCGGACTCGGTGAAGTGCTGTGGTTCGATTGTGCTGAGGCCACGTTGCAAAATGAGGGGACGAGCGACACTTGAGGTTTCTATGTGGTCTCTTCCGTCGCGCCAGCTGCGTCAAGCATCGAGCAACCGGAACACTAGCCCGAATCTGATTGGGCACTGAGTGCGGAGAGAGACGGGACGAGGAAGAGATCACATCTTACAACAGGTTTATGAAATAAGGAAGTCAACAAAAGACGTTCTTTTACAAATTACTGCATGCCACAAGTAAGGGTATGCCTCATAACAGGATTACTAAGCAGCAAACTGGTCAGCGCCTATCTGGCACCAGCGCTTCAAGCCCACACCGGCCGGGATAAGAAAATGGCGATGCTATGGCGACGCGACGGCCGCGCGCGACTCGACGCTGCCATCACAACGTGTGCGCCGCACGACGACACCAAGAGAGGCGACATCACAGAACGTTTGTCTGAAGCGTCGAGGCGCTGGCTTGCATGTCGTTATTCTCGCGGCGAGAATCGCGCCTCTGGCTTCCCATCGCCGCTGGCAGTGCAGCCAGCACGTTGAAGAGAGATGATGACGTATTTCTTCGGCTCCTTCTTGCCACTTGTGTGTATCTTTGTGTATTTTTTTGCGTGTGGGCGGCAGCGGACCATTAGCTCCGCACTGGCGTTGGTCCTACCTTTGTGGCGCAGCCCGGAATGGAGAACCCAGGTGTGCCCCGTTGGGCTGGCGCTGTACTGTCCAAGCGGAGCCAGGGCAAGGGCGAGCGACGCCATCGCGCCCTGCAATAGTGCGCCATCCTAGCATTTAACTCTTTCAGGCTAGCGCATCGAATATCAGTGGCAGCTCAATCTTTGCTAGGTGGATCCTACATACTTGAAGCTTGATTGATTAACTGTCGATGTATCCACCCTTGGACCAGGAGCATCATCATGCTACGCGACACTCTCTCCAAGGACGAACTCGTCCTTGGTGATCCTGGCGCTGTGCTGAACTTGCTAGACCTGCAGCCGACCTACTACACTAACTCTACATGTAGCAATTCCTGTGGCAGCGTGATGGTTCTTGCGTGCCGAGGAATCCTCGGATCACTTCCATTTCGAGGTCAAGTGCGACCTCGGATGTTTATGCCATCTTATCGGTCATATGACTGGTCAAAAATATTTGTAGCGAACTATTATTGGTCAAAATGAAAACCGTTTCAATCAGATCGAAATGCCAGAATTCAGCACAACGTCTTCGACCTCCTGGACATCATGCCGATGGCTGTCGCTCCGTCCTTCGACCCGCTGCCGACAGCCCCACGCGTTGCCATGCTGCCCACCACCAACGC